TAAATGAAGTAGGCTTATTGGAGAACAAACCAGGAGTGAAAGATACAAATAGATGGCATAAATTTCCTTATTCAGTATGTTTGCAAATAGGGCATTTGCTTTTATTTATACAGAAAACTGATTGTTAAATGCAAAAACAAACCATTTGGGACCACAGACTAGCAATGTAGAATTAGTCTTACTTTATTAGTAAAATATTATCTCAAAGTTTATCATATTGTAAATTATCTCTGTGCTGTTAAGTGCTGTCGAGTCGGTTCTGACTCATAGTGATGCTGTATAGGGTTTCCAAGGAGAGGTTAGCGAGTTTGAACCACTAACCCGTGGTTCAAACAGACCTTGTTGTCCAGAGTTTATTCTACAGTGCCATACCGGGACTCCTTCATATTTGTGAAAGAGCTAAAATGGGAAGATACTGGGTGGGAGAAGGCAACGGAAGTGGGGAATGGAATTAAAGAGAAGGGAGAGAACAAGAAATGGTACCAAAGCAGCCAAATCTTAGCCTTTCATCTATAAACCAAAGATCTCTTGGACTGAAGAATAGTTTGTTTCGTGGCAGATTTAAAAACTATGGTGCAAGAGGCTACTTAAAAACCCTGTAACACTCATATAACAAATCTCAGAATCATCCCAAAGGGAACCAGTATATCCCTAGCCCCAGTCATAGTGAAGGGAGTATTTCCTTGATATTTTATCACTATGTGCTGCTGAGCTGGTTCTGAGTCATAGTGACCCTTTATATGATTTTCAAGGCTGTAAGTGTTTACTGGAGCAGAAAATCTCATTGTTCCCCTCCAGAGCAGCTGATGGATTCAAACTGCTAACCTTGCAGTTAGTAGCCCTACACGTATGTAACCCACTATGCCACCTGGGCTCCTTATTTTATCACCGGTGGTTTATTTGTCCTTATACCTTTTACCTGTCAGCTGCCTGGTTCAATCCCTCATCTCTTCCTGCATGAAAAGTGGTACCAGCTGCCGGGCTGCTTCCCTTGATGCCACTTCCTCCATCCTCTAATGAAAATTTCATACATTCATTTAACAAATATCGCTAATGGTTCTGTGTATTCTTGTCTTGTTTTTCACCTCACCTATTCAAGTCCTAATCTAAAAACCAAACCCATTTCTGAGGCTGTAAATTTTTATGGGGGCAGAGTCTCATTGTCTCTCCAAGGAACTGCTGATAGGCTTGAACTGCTGACCTTGCAGTTAATAGTCCAATGCTTATCTTACAGCACCACCAGACTTTAAATTCAAGCTTACCGTTCCCGTGAAGCCATCCCAAGTTACTCAGCCCAAGCTGATCTCCCTGAACTTGTAGAAGCTATGCAATAGAATCAGTAGCCTAACAGTTCTTTTTTGTTGTTAGTTCCTTGTGTTATGAGTTCAATACTTTTTCAGCTATTATATTCACCTCTACTGGGAACCCCTTCCTGGCGCCTTGCCTGACCTATGTTAATCCTCTAACTCCCCGTGAACATAATTTACATTGTGCTAAGATCATGTGTTTTCCCAACTAAAATGTTTGAAGACAGCTTAAGTCTTACCAGCTTTTTTGTACCCAGCTTCTAAACCGGAATAATGGGCTTCTTTTTACCTCTGGCAGCATGGGTAAGAGAAAGGATCCTACAAGACAGCACTAGATCCTAAATAAATTACAATTAAAATAAAAATTTAGCATCTTGTTGGGTTCATTAGAAAGCAAGAGAAATCATTAAAAGATAAACCAACAACACTGAAACTTCAATGAAACATGAGCAACAGAAAAGCAGGTTTGTACTGGGTCAACTGCCAATATCAGAGCAGAGTTTAAGCCATGAGTTTAACTGAGGAAGGGGAGAGAAACCTAGGACTCCTGAATGAAACTGGGCTCTGGATGGGGCTAATGTGGTCCTAGGTTAGGCGCATCCCCCAGCTGGTGGCAGAAGCAAATGCAAATCCTCTCTGGAGGACAGTACCCCCAATTTAGATTTCAGGATTCCTAGAGATGAGATCATAAGCCAAGATACAAAATATATAAGGAAACAAATTACTATGAGCACATATGGGCAGAAAGCAACAAAGCAGATTTAGACATTCAAGATCCGTTACAGAATATAAAATAACAATGACAACAAATTTTATAGAGAATTGGCATTATAGAGACCACACATTCTCTGAGCATGAGATTATGTTAAAAATAGTATCAAAGATGAGACATTTTGAACTCTCCAGAGATTTGCAAATTTATAAAACTTTTCTAAGTAAGTCATGAGTCAAAAAAAAAAGGAAATTTAAATATTCTTAGTACTAGATAATAATGGCAATATTGTACGACATAGAAAAACTTGTAGGATGTAGAGAAACAGATATTTGAAAACTTACAATAGTGAAGACAACAGTCAGAAAATTAGCTAAGTGACAAAATTAAGATGTTATAAAACAATATAAAATTAAACCTAAAGAAAGCAGATGAAAGGTGATACTATAGGTAAGATCAATAATTCATGAAATGGGAAACACATTCAAAGTAGTTCTGAGACAGACAAGTAGAAATAAACAAATTTCTTGTACAATTGATCAAGAAAAAGAGAAGACACAAATACGAAAATGATAAAAATGGCATGGTTTCCCAGAAAACAGGCAAAAAAGAAAATAGAATATATGAACTGCATGCCAAAAAAAAAAGCATTCACAATATTTTAGAAAATAGTTTACTTAAACCAACTCCAGAGGAAATCACAACTACAATTAATAAACTTAATGAATAGTATAATTTTCCCACAAAGAAATGCCAGGTTCAGATGACTTTACAGGTGATTTTTTAAACAGCTTTACAAATGACTTTTACCGAACTTTCAAGGAACATTTCAATTCAATTTGATTTAAACTTTTCCAGAGAATAAGACAAGCAGGATAAATCCAGTCCCCAACTGAAAGGGCACACAGGCCAAAAGAACCATTTTAGAAACCTTTTTAGAAATCTTAGACTAAAAATAAAGGCACTAACGTACAAGAGAATGTTCATAGCAGCATTGTAATAGCAAAAAACTGGAAACCCAAATATTCATTGGTAAGCACATGTATAAACAGCTTTTGGCTTATGCACCTGATGGAATATTATACAGATGAAAATGGCCAAATCATAACTATTTAGAATGACATAGATGCATTTTAGAACTGTTAAGTGACAAAAGCAAATGACAGGAAGCAATTACAGTGTAGCATTTTTGTAAAGCTAGAAAGCAAAAAAAATGGCAATATAATATTTAAGCATCTATACATATATGATTGAGGAGCTCTGGTAGCATAGTGGTTACGAATCGGGCTGTAAACTTTGAGGTCAGCAGTTCGAAACTACCAGCTGTTCCACGGGAGAAAGCTGAGGCGTTCTGCTCCCGTAAAGATTTACAGCCTCGGAAGCCCTGTACAGGGTCGCTATGAGTCGGTTCTGACTCCACAGCACATAACCACCACCACCATCACCACATATAGGATTAAATATATATACGTATCAGGCAATTAATAAACACAAAATTAAGAACAGTAGTTACCTCTAGAGAAGAGGCAGGATCTAGGGGAGGAACTAAAGTAAATTCAATGTTTTTTTAATGTGTAAGTTGAATGATGGGTTATAGGTGTTCATTTTATCATTATGCTTCATAATTTATATTACATATATTCTTTATAGATATCAAATATTACATATATTTTTTTAGAAATCTGCTGTGGTGAAAATAGTGAACAAATGAAGTCTCCCTGAAAGAAAATCTGTATTTCTTGGTTAAACCAAGATTCCCTGACAGAAGCTACTGTATGCAGAAGACAAAATAGAGCCTCAATAAATACTGGTTTACAGCTTTCCCCAAGGACACACCTGTAGGGTCTGTAGTTTTTCCCCATCGGTGCACCCTGAAGTGCAGAGCTATTTCCCTACCCACAGATTCTAGTGAAACCACACAACTCTTGCCGTGTATGACAAGAGACTGACACCCGGTGGAAATGAATGAAAATGACAAGGAAGTAATTTTACTTTTCCTGATGAATGTGGATGAATGGTTGGGGATTATCAGTAATGAAAACTGAAATTCAAGCAGGAAAAGGAATCAGCTCCATCTCTGAGAATGTAGGTGAGGAAAAAAAGGGAATTTTAATCTTAATAAGGAGACTGAAGAGAGAGTCCCTAAAGGAGAATGACTAGAACAAGAGGAAAGAGGTCACAATTGTAGTAAGAGAAATAAAAGACTGATGAAAAGAAGTAGGTCCAGCTGATCAACAACAGCACCCCCACCCCCAGTTTCCATTTGGGTTTATCTATGTGACTCTGAAGAGGCTGATGTTTTTAAGAAAGGGATAGTCCATGATGTAGAGTAAGCAAATTAGCATATGTCATCCTCCGGCCACAGTGACTGGGTAGGGATGGATATGTGACCCAGGCTGGCCTGCTCAGCATGAATCTTAAGGGCTTTTGCCAGGATTCCTGACATTAAGATGCCCACTCCTTCTGGTTTAGATATAAATGAGAAAGCATGTAACCCTAGCAGAGTTGGCAGCCCAAGGAGGCCCAGCCTAAAGATGATCCTAGATTGTGGAGCAGAGAGAATAAATCAGGTATTTACTTACTGGATCAAGCTTCACTCTGGACTTTAGTTAGTTGAGCCAGTAAACCCTTTTTACTTTATTGTTAAGCCAGTTTGAGTTAGGTTTTCTATGATTTAAAGCCAAAAGGCTCCTACCTATATATTCATCATACTTACTCTATCCCTATTTTCCCACAGGATAGCACAGGGATCCAGGTAAGAAAATCACTACAGATTTATTGGTGATGCTAAAGGCAAGGGTACCAAGCTGGAAGGGTTAGAGGCAGGAACTAGGCACTAGGTAAGACAAGGTGACAAAGCATTTATACTGAGAATGGATGGTCCCTTAAGTAAAGATTAGTCAAATGAGAAACAAGTATGACAAGAGCCTCTACTAGGCAGACAGAATTGACATATATAGGTCAACACACTTTCCCAAGTGTCATGGGGGTGTTGCTTTGGGATCTTTACATTCATAGGCTAAGGGACTTTGAAGCACATGCCCCTTTAAGTCTTTATTACCTTGTGTGGCAGTCTCTATCTCTCCCTTTACCAACTGAAGAGCCTCCTTTTGGCTTCTACTGCCCTTGATGACGCTCACTTTAGGGGTGACAAGAATAATTTGATCTTCTGCTTCTTTGGCATGCTGAGAACTGGAGCCCCTTAATCCCTTGGAAACAGCACCATCTTCCTGGCCCTGGGCAAGCACTGTCCCTTTCTCTGCCTCTCCCGTTTGCCTGGGACTGTAAGACCCTCCAGCTGAATTGCTTTCCCTTCCAGAGCCCCATGTCTCCAGTAGTACCCTTGATTGGGCTGAGTCCATGGCACCTGTTGACTTCTCCGGGATAGAATTCCTTTCCCTGCTTCCACCTGATTTCTTCCGAGGGCGACCCCGTTTTCTTTTGGAATCAGCTCCAGTATCCTCTATATCTTGCTTTGGGGCTTTAGCTGGTGAGTCCTGCCCACTGACCTCACTCACAGGTACTTCAGCTGTCCTCTTGACACCCTTGTCATGGGGTCTCAGATCACCCCCTATGCCTACCTCCCTGTTTTCTGTGCACCGGGGCTGAGTCAAACCCACAGATGGAGCTCGCCCAGGCCCAGGTAAAGCAGGAACAGTTGGTAAGATCATATTAATGATGGGCACAGGTGCCAGAGGTCCTACAGCCCTACTGGGCAGAGGCAGCGTAGTCACTTTCAAGGGCCCTGAAGAAAGCTTGGGGGCCAGAATAGGCGAAGAGACTTGGATTGGCTGAATATGTGAGCAAGGGGTCCGGGGCAGGAGCGGAGGTAGCCGAGACATTAGGGCATTAACCTGTGGGTTATTGGCAGCTGGGGCTGGGGTCTCTATTACACTCTTCTTCCGCTCTCCACGCACCGGGGCGCCAGCTCCAGTACAGGGTTCTAGCTCCTTGGGAGGCTACAAAGTAAAGAGAGGAACACAGTAAGTGTTGAGAACTGAGTATTGGAGGAAATACAAGTACAGGAGGTGAAAAAGTATAGGAAGCCCCCTCACCCAAATTAGTAGAGTCAAGGGCATCAACCTCCTTACCTGGGCTGGTCTCTCTGTTTCTTTATGGGCTCCACTCTCTAGGTTCTCAACACCATTCTTGGATTTAGATAATCGTTCCCGAGCGACATGTTCATCCTCTTCTGCAGAAATACCAGAAATGGTAATAAGTAGAAAGAGGAGGAAACTGAGGAATGGAAGAGGGAGGTGATTCTGACTGACTGGCAGACCTACAGGGAAAAGATGATGGTCTAAGGCAGGGGTGGGGAATGTCCAGCCCGTGGGCCATGTTGTTGTTATTAAGTACCGTGGAGTCGGTTCTGACTCATAGCGACGCTGCACAGGGTTTTGAGGCTGTAAATCTTTATGGGAGCAGAACGCCTTATCTTTCTCCCACAGAACTGCTGGTAGTTTCCAACTGCTGACCTTGAGCAGCCCGATTCGTATCCACTATACTACCAGAGCTCCTTGTGGGACGTGTAAGGCTCTCAAAATCATTTGGTCTGGCCTTGCCAAGGCAACTGCAGTTTCCAGACATCACACTGTTGTTATTGCTAAGTGCTGTTGAGTTGGCTTTGACTCATAGCAACCCTGTATAAGGGTTCCCGAGGAGCTGCTGGTGGGTTTGAACCGTTGACCTTGTGGTTAGCAGTTCAGTGCTTATCCTGTAGTGCCACACCAGGACACTAGCCATCACACTGTTGTTAAGTGCCATCGAATTGGTTCTGACCCATAGTGACCCTATATAGGGTTTCCGAGGAGCAGCTGGTGAGCTTGAACCGCCAACCTTGCAGTTCAAACAGCTTTGCAGTCTGGCACATTAATCCACAGCGCCACACCAGGACTCCAGCCATCACACTGTTGTTGTTGTTAAGTGCCATCGAGTCGATTCCGACCCATACCCTGTGTAGGGTTTCCAAGGAGATGCTGGTGAGCTTGAACCGCCAATCTTATAGTTCAAATGGCTTTGCAGTCTGGTGCATTAACCCACAGCGCCACACCAGGACTCTGGCCACCACATTAGGGGTAAGTTAATGAAATGTTTGACCAAATAGAAGGATAATTTTTAAGTTGATAATTTTGTATGACACAAGAATGTTACAGATTTTGGCAGAAAAAAAGTTCTCCACTCCTGGTCTAAGGCATGTCCTAGAAGGGGCTCCAGGAATAGAAGGGAAATCCCAAGGTGTGTCTATCCTAGAACATGGGAGGGCCTTAGAAGTTGAAAGGGGATGAGGGTTTCTCAGAATATAAGAGAAGGTCCACTACTCACCAGCAAGTCCCGTGGCCTTGAGCACATGGGCGTGTGCAGATCGGGCAGAGATGAGATGCTGCTGTAGTAGGAAGCGGGCAACCTCTACTATGGAACTGAAGGATCGTTTTAGGATTCGCTCTGCCCAGTCACAGGTCAAGGCGCAGGCTGCCTCTACCAGTTCATCCCTAGGTGCTGGGGTTACTTCTGGGCCCATTTCTGGCTGCAGTGTAAAGGACATGCCCAATCACACTCCAAACTAAAGAACCTTTGCCCTTTCTCAGAAACCAATATTGGCCACAGCTGAGACCAAATCTGGGCCAAGAAAGAGTCTACCCATCCCATTCTAGAAACCCACAAGTTTTTTTCACTAGACATATAGGATAGGCAGAAGGGCTATATATCCTGGAGCTATATCTATAATTCCTGGGTATATAACCCTTCTTCCTATCCTATGGGTCTTCATTCTTCTTGGATCAACTATCAACACTCACAGAAGCAGCAGTCAAGAAATCAAATGACATATTGCATTAGGCAAATCTGCTGCACAAGACCTTTTTAAAGTGTTGAAAAGCAGAGATAGCAGCTCGAGAAGAAAGGTGAGCCTGACCCAAACCATGGTATTTTCAATAACCTCATATGCATGTGAAAGCTGGACAGTAAATAAGGAAGACCGTAGAAAAATTGATGCTTTTGAGTTATGGTGTTGGAGGAGAATATTGAAAGTACCGTGGGCTGCCCATAGAACCAACAGATCTGTTTTGGAAGAAGTGCAGTCAGAGTGCTCCTTGGAGGCCAAGATGGCCAAACTTCATCTCTCATACTTCGGATATATTGTCTCTGGAGAAGGATATCATGTTTGGTAAGGTGGAGGGTCAGAGAAAAAGAAGAAGACCCCCAGCGAGATGGATTGGGAAAGTGGCAGCATCAATGGGCTCAAGCGTGGCAACAATAGTGAGGTTGGCCCAGGATTGGGCAGTGTTTCGTTCTGCTGTGCATAAGGTAACTATGAGTCGGCACCGACTCAATGGCACCTAACAACAATAAAATATCTATCATTACCTAAACTCTGTTAGCCCTCAAACATGTCCCAAAGAGATCTGGGAGAGAAGGGTGGAATTAGTGTTACTTGTTACTTACACTCTCAATACCCTTCAGGTCAAGTCCAGGCAGGGGTGGCATAGATACCAAAGTTTTTCTTCGTATGCCGCTGTAGCAGTATCTGATATGAATTAAGGAGCAGCCAATACATGGGGATCTCTAAGACTCTCAGGAAGGTTATGCCATTTCCACTCATGGCTTCTCACATCCCAAATTTTCCTCCCTAGCTCCCTATCCCCAACCTCTCCAATCAAGGATACTTAGACTGACCCCGGCCACCAAGTCTTCGGGCCTTTATGTCAGGAAAAATTTCTCTGATGATTTTGCCAAAGTTGGCAGTGCTGAGTGGGCGACAACAGGCAAGGCTCTCACAGTACTTCCTGAGTGGATAGGGATAGAATAAGGATGAATTCAGAGAAAGCCAGGGGTTGATTCAGAGGATCCCTAGAGCTAAAGTTTGGGAATCCCTTTAGGAAATCAGGTCTTACCAGGGCAGGGAGCTCTCTGGGGGCAAGGGGCTAACTCTATGCTCAGCCACCCTCTTACCCACCGATAGGCATCATAAACGCTTTGCTTTGGCAAACAGGTGTCAGTGTGTTCTTCTAGGTGGTTGCGGATCCACCTATAGGCATACATGTACTCCTCATTGCTGAGTGTACTTGGTTCTGAGCTGCAGAATAAAGGAAAGAGACAAAGGTTACTTAAAGACCCCAACAGTTATCCTGGTTCTACCCAAACTACCACGTAAGCAGGTGCTAGACCAAATGAGTTCACTTAGAATCTACCTGACCCTGGTAAACCAAACCAGGACAAAGGGCCTGCTTTCGTGTTCATGGACAACAGTTACAACAAGTCTTCCTATTCACCTGGTTCCTTCCCTGGGAGACTTTGTCCAAGAGTCAAAACTCCTGACACCTAGAACTCAAGTACCAAACCTACCTTTTGTCTCCAGTGCTGGGTCCTGAGGGGAGCTGAAGGTAGAGATACAGCTTGTCGTTGTCTGAGAATTTCTGTACATCTTGCTGAGGTGGTAGAGGACACAGGTAGGAGAAACAGTAAGGCCAAGAAGAACCCAAGGTAGGACCCTCTGATTGTTACCATAAAGTCTAGCTAACCTATACATTGTCAGATTGAAAAGGACCTTAGAAATGATCTGAAGCTGAATGTTCACTGTGCTGAGAGGTCCCCCTATGGACTATCATGTGGAAGAGGGAACATAGGGATCATCTTTGATTTATCAATACTGGTCTTTGATATGTTGTTGTTGTTATGTGCCGTGGAGTCAGTTCTGATTTACAGCTACTGAGATCAGAAAAAGGGGAAGTGAGATGTTCAAGGTCAAACTGGTAGCCAAGTTGTAATGCAAATTATCGTCTGACGTGGCAGATAGCACTGCCTCTCCCACATTAAACTTTCAACTTGTCTATATCATCTTCAGCATCCTCCTCCCCTAATTCCATCCCTCTATTGCTGCCTTCCCCCAAATACTTACCAGAATCCCCTCAACTTTGTTCTGCACAGCTTTGCTGTAGGAAAGAGGAGAAAGTGGGGATCACACACAGATTTCCCCCCATCCCTTTATCTGATTGCTAGGGATGGGAAGAGGACTGAAATGCCTAATAGGTGCTCAAGAATCACTTAAAAAACAAACAAACATATATTTAATTTATATACAAACTAGGTGGACTGTTAAAAAAGAATAAAAATGTTAATTCAAGAATCACTTTTATAAGGGAAAAATCTCCTTTTGGTCAGGTTCAAGGAGAAGTAGTTCATCTGCAGAGGCAGTGAATACTAATACAAGTCTACAACTTGGTTTGAAACAAGAGGTGGAGCTGGTGATGAGTACTTACGTAATGGTACCTCTGAGTTTCTGAAGAAGGGTGGTGGGTTCACCAGCCTCTGCATTACTTGGGGGAGCCCTTCCCCCAGTCTTTGGGCTCTTAGCGTCAGGCTCATCTTCTGCCATCCCAGCATGAGGGCTAGAGTTGAAAGTAGACAGGGCATGAAGACTAGCTCACAGTGGTCTTCCCTTCCCCCTGGAGACCTCTGAGACACTTCAGAGCACGCATCTCTCTACCAAATAGACGGAGAAGCCTCTAAATTTTCCCAGTGGTCTTTTTCTTATCACTTGCTTTTTTCTCCATAAATTCGAAACCATCCCATCACTTATCTAGGCCCATATACACCCAAGAAGTCTTGCCATCTCCATTCTATTTGACCCACCTTACTGAAATCTCCCAAATCTGGAAAACTATAGGAAGAGAGAGAGGGGTAATGGAAGTCCGCATTAGAGAAATCTTTATTTTTGTTTGCCCCGCCCTCACTCTCCCAAACAACAATAACATTCATAAAACAAAGTTCGCTAATTCTCTAATATACTCCTCATCGCTGAATTGGCCAGGTAGGTCAGAAAGGATACGCACAAATCCCACCCTGGGCCCAAATTCTCATGACTTAATCTCGCCACGGCTTTCCCAGCGGTTCCCCCTACCCACATCGCTGGCCCCTACGTCATCTCCCTCCACATCCCATTCTCT